GAAAAACTATATGGAACTGAAAACTACATTAAACATAGTTCTAAAGAAAAGTATCACGGAAATTTAAAAAAATAGTTTTATTAAATAAAAAGGAAAAATATTAAGAAAAGGGAAAATATCGTAGTACATTCCTATACAACTGAAAAGAGGAGGAGAGGGAAGGGAGAAGGGCTAAAATCATGAAACCGGTCTCTCCCCAGATGGCGTATTCGAGTGTTGTTATCCAGGGCTAAAGAGAATAGCCCTGGTTGTTATCGCCATTTTTGTCTCGTAGATCCCTTGCCATGTTTTTCGGTTTTGGGTAGACCCCCTGCTTACCTGATATTAATCTTTTGTAACTGTACCCCTATAAAACCCGTACTCCGCTACTAATATTATAAGTTTGTATACAAAACCGTAGTAATATATTGTCAGTTTGTTTATTACGTTTTCACGTAAAAACTAAGCAACAAATCTCCGTGATCTTGTGAGCAGGTAAAATTGGAGGTCTAGCTAGCTAAAGAGTTGATACACTTGCTAGGCTACAATTTACAGCGAAAAAATACTTTTTTATTGCCAAATAAAATCTTACACGCAGAGAAAATAAAAACATACGCAGGTGGAGCTGCAGGCAACTGCTAGTTTATAATAATTCATTTTCTTACATCAAAAAATAATCTCAATAACTTAATTTTAATAAAATTTTTACTTCATAGCTACTTTTATAAATTATGTAGAACGCAGAAAGATATATGTCTTTATATTATAAGGTAATATAATGTTAGTAAAGAGGCACTATCAGTGTAATGTTGATTATTCCATTCATGAAATGCCAAAATTAAAAGTCACGACCTGCTTATATGAGATCCACTATCGTTGACCCTCATTTTCATTTCATGGTCCCCCAATATTTTTTGTCACTTCACATGGACCCCTTTCAGGTTGTCGTCTACCTCTGGGGGTCGATATAGTCCACTTTGGGAATCACTGCTCTAGCTAATTAAATATATTGCAGCAAAATGTCTAAAAAAGAACAATAGTAACAAAGAATCTATTTTAATTGAAATAGTAATTTAATTTTAATTAAAATATGGCACTACAATAGCGTTTATAAGTATGACTTTACTGCGATACTTAACCGGTTCCATGCCTTTGGCCTTTCCCCCTTCCCTTTCCTCCTCTTTTCAGTTGTATAGTAATGTAATACGATATTTTTCCTTTTCTTCATATTTTTCGTATTTAATTGTTAAAAATATTTTTTAAAATTTCCAAGACGCTTTCTTTTAGAACTATGTTTAATGCAGTTTTCAATTCCATATAGTTTCGTAACTTAAAAGATTTTAATCTATTTAAAAATCAAGACAGAAACTAACGTACTTCCTTCTTCTATGACTCTCCAACTGCTAATGGTGAAAGCATGCGAAGTGTTGCCATAGGTAGAAAGTTCTTCTCTACATCATCAGTAGCCCATTTCGATTGCCAATAGTAAAATAAATCCTTTAAGATGAAGAGAAAATAAGTTACTCTCTGTTATTAAATTTTCAAATCATAAGATTAACTACGTAAAAACTGTGTTGTAACATTTGAAACTATGTTTACAATTTATTATATAAATAATTATTATAAATAAATAATTGATTATTATTAATTAATTAAATTTTCCTTTGGCATCCAAATGGATTATGATATTTTTTAATTTAGCTGCCTTCATCAATAATTCTTTGTTTTCTTTATTTCTCACTTAACATATAAATAAAAACATATTGGCAAAAAGAATTATAGTAATAGGAGGGGGGGATATTTTACTGTTGGAGGGAATGTTTTACACTTATTCAAAGTCAATCAAATAATGAACCATTTGATAAATAAATGCTTAAAAAAAAAAGAAAAAAAAGAAGAAAAAACAAAGAAATGAGTTTATAGCCAAAACGTAGAAATAATTTGTCACGATCCCATGAATCGAGTAATAAATAATTAGGTAATCAAATACTGAACAGAAATAAAATATCCTGAAAAGAGTCCACTTGTTGTCCAGCTGTAAACCAAACAAATGAAAATTCAAAAAGTTAAATTGACTTTTTTATTTTTAACATGGTGGATTAATGAAATTCAACCTGAAAGAAAATTAAATTTTAAACAAAATATACATGCTTAAAAATCCTATTTATACAGATTTAAATTGGAGATATAATTCCTTTAAAATGAATAAAAACTTAGAAAGTTCGAAGGGAAAAGGTAGACTGACGTCACACATGACACGTCATATGACGTGTCATGTGTGACGCTCATATATATGAGCGATAAAAGAAAGAAAGGCCCAAGAAGTTTAAGGCTAAGAATTCGCTATATTAGTTTAGATAAATATTAACATCGAATCCACAAATTAAAATAGTTCTTTTTTTTATGAAAGAAGAAAATTTTGTTTTTGTTTTGTAAAAAAGAAGGAAAAAACACAGATTTCTTTTTTCAGATAGGATCACTGTCACTGTTTAAGAAACATGAGAAATTAAATGTTTGTATATTTATTTTGCATGAATCTTCTTAGCTTTAAAATTTTGTTTCTTTTTTCTTTTTTTAAATATGAAGCAAATTTCATAAATCAGATTATATGAAATTTGTAAGGATTTTAATACAAAAACATTTGACATCAATGTTCAGATGCTTATCTAACTTGACAAATAATTCCATATACAAGACTTACTGAGGTTTTACAGTGAAAGGAAAAACTTTTCTAATCGAGACCGCATACCAGTATGCACAATGTTACAATACATAATAATCAGTATTTCTCGTGATTTTATTAAAAAAAAAATATTATTTAGCTCGAATTATAATTATTGAAAGCATAAGAGATTTGCTTCCAATCGAGACAAACAAGCTACAAAAGAAAAGTTTTTTTTTCAGTCTTAATTTACTTGCAAAACAATTTTTCTGCGATTCGACTTCCTTGTGGATATATTTTTTTAAAAAAAAGTGCAGGTGGTTCTAGAATCTCAAGGTGACCGTAATAATCCCTTCCTTTTCAGTAATATTCTTCTTTGTTTTTGTGCAATGTAAAGTATTTAACAGAATCAATGTTTCTAAATTTGTTTTTTGTGCAATAGCCGTTACCGTTATATGAGCAATGAAATAAAATTTTTTATGAGTTCAAAGAAGTGAACACGGAGAGTTTTCAGAAATACAATATTTAAAAATCTCATCATCCGATTTTATCAAATCTCATTTTATTATTTTATTCCATATTTTATGGATTTAGTTTCAAACTGTAATTTAAAAAAAAAATATTAATATTATTAAATTCAGTGGTAAACATTACCAACAAGGATATAATACAATGGAGTTTATATCCTTTAAATTTGAATTCGGTTTCCTTTACCTTTAGTTAAACAGAAGTGAGACAAACTATATAAACTAGGGAAATAAGCAGACTGTTCGTTGCTACTCACCAACCCCAATAGTTCATATTCTCCATGCAACTGATAGAATCTCTTAATTATTAAACGAATATTTTGAACTGCAATTTTTAACATTATATTAATGTAATTTGCATCGAAAAACAATAATTATAAAACGGTTAATAAGCTTAAACGCCAATTTATAAATTTATCTCAAAAGTGTAGCGTATTAGGATGATATAAAATTACATTATTGTAAAGAAATAACTCTTTTAGTTTTAAAAGCTTAATTTAAGAAAAAAAGATCAAAAACGTATTAATAGCAGAGTAGAATAAGAAAAATAAATCCTTAAATAAGGGAAACAAAAAATAATTAATTGGAAAACGATAGCTTTATATGTTTTATCACTTTTATCCTGATAACCAAAAATGCATGGAAATAATTGTGAGAAAAACGAATCCTACTAACAAGGGAAACTAGGGAAGTGTGACTCGCCAATTTTGAAATAAACTAGTGGGATGTATGCCTTATGAGGAATAATTTTAGGGGGAAATATTCGTTTCGGCCCATAGAAGGTCCTGTGAGAGATAAAAAATAATTCAATATATAGAAAAATCGGTATTTTATTACTTCAATGCAGACTATTAGTTATTGTAATTGTCTCATACTCCAATTAATTTTGTGGTACTTTCACGTACTATATAATGCATATTTATTGTCAAAATTGATTTCGAAAATTTTATATATCTGTAGTTTTTCAGAAAAACCTGTTAGGTTAATTTTAAAAAAAATTGACATCAAATTTTTAAATTTTTTTTTTCAAAAACTTTCCAAATTAATTGGAGTATGTAATTGCAAATCAGTTAATAATTAATTAACAATTAATTAATAATTAAATAATAATTAATTAATTAAAATTAATTTTCCGATTGATTTATTAATTATCCAATTAATTACAAATTAATTGGAGTATGAGACAATTACAATAACTAATAGTCTGCATTGACGTAATAAAATACCGATTTTTCTATATATTAATTTATTATTTTTTTTCTCTCACAGGACTTCCTATGGGCCGAAACGAATGTTAATTAATTTATTAATTAGCAAATTATTTAATAATCCAATTAATTACAAATTAATTGGAGTATGAGACAATTACATTAACTAATAGTCTGCACTGAAGTAATAAAATACCGATTTTTCTATACATTTAATTATTTTTTATCTCTCACAGGAATCACTCTATGGGCCGAAACGAATGTTGCCCCCTAAAATTATTCATCGTAAGGCATACATCCCACTAGTTTATTTCAAAATTGGCGAGTCACACTTCTCTAGTTTCCCTTGTAAGTGATTTTCTGGTTACTACAAATGCATTAACAACAATGGAATACTGTGTTAGACCATTCTGTTTTCATGTTATCTAGAGATTTATAGTTCGTGTTTGAGAAGGCTAATTAAAGTAACTATTATTTCTGATTCGATAATGTTCCCGTTTTGAACGACAGGTTGATGCATTTGAAGCGTATGATTTGAATATTGTCAACGATTTCATGTAATCATGTGACACCATCATTCAATTTTTATACATCTTTAGATGCATTTTTGTTTTGTGATACAAAATGTATGTGTATAGAATCTTTTCAAAACTATAAACTAAAAATCAGTTCACGTCACCTGATATTTTTAAAAAAATATGTTTCCTTTTTAGATCAAGATAACAAACGAATTTTGTTGTTGTTTATATCGTTTTTTCTCCTTGTTGTAAAATAACCAACAACAGTGGTTGTTAGTTATCCCTAGCGTAAAAGTTTAATAAAAAGCAGCAATACTATTTTTCGCTAATTATCTTGCATTTTTCGCCGAAAACAACAAATGATTATTGCTGTTGCTTATTCTTATAGTTTGTAGGTATGTTGGTTATCCATATTGTAAAAGTATAATAAATAACAACAGTACTTTCTTCATTTATGCTGCATTTTAAAAAAAATACACTGTATTTTGAAAACAATAACCTTAATGAAGATGTATTTAGAATTCTTTCAAAAGTGCATTTCAGTTTCACAATAAGTAGTGCGAGTTAAATTTTAAGCCAGGAAGAATAAAAACGCTTTCGAAATTAGTTGAGTCACTAATAAAAGTGGCGTGTTGGAAATATTTAAGCCAATTTGATTGCATGCTGGAACCTAAAAGTATTTTTAATTGCTTTTTTTTCTTTCTGTTTCCTCCAGCACTGAACCGAATTTCCAGTATTTCTGAGCCGCCTTCTAGTCTAGTGATACGTTTGATTTTGATAGTGTATTTGTTTTTCTCCTCGCTTAGAACATGCATTTATAAGTTTTGCACCATTGTTGGCTTCAGTTCTGATAAGACTTCTAAGAGTAATCCCGATTTTCTTCGATACAGCCAAAAACTTTCTGTCACATTTTAGCCTACATAGAATTGATTCATATAAATTTTACAGATTAGACAAGTTTCACCGATGCTAATTAAGTTTGCTTAAAGAATTTTCTCTTGATAAACTCAACTGGTGACAACACTTCTTTTAACTATTGCTGCCATTATCAAAAATCACACGAAACAAATTAAAAATACGTGACATTTAGTTGTGTATGAAAGACAAATACACCGAAGAGTCATTACATTATGACCACCCTGCTAACAACATGTAGGACCACCTTTAGTCCTCAAAACTGCTAGCACACGCCATGGCATTGATTCCACAAGGTGCTGATAGGTAGTCTGAGGTATCTGGTACGAAGCGCTCACCAACTGGTCCTGCAATTCCCTCACATTGCGAGGGGGTAGCGTGGCAGCACGAATTTGGTTTTCCAAGTAGGACCACAAATGCTCTATTGGATTAAGGTCAGGTGAATTTGGGGGCCAAGACATGACTTGAAAGTCACTGGAATGTTCCTCGACGATTCGACCTTTATGACATGGTGCATTATCCTGTAGGTTAACACCATCCCGCAGGAAAAACTGTTGCTATGAGTGGGTGAACCTGGTCTGCAACTATGTTCAAGTAGCTTACATACTTCAGGGATTGTTCTATGAGGATTATGGGTCCTAATGTGCCCCATGAAAACATTGCTCCT